ATTTTGGCGCCATCATGTGGTCAAATAAAATTACTACACTATGGCTGGCACGCTGTCAGCAGCCGCCTTTGATCACAACCTACATATATATATCTCTCTCCAACACAAAGGAAAGTAATTAAAGAGGTGGCGAAAATCCAGATAGTAAATAAACAGATTTATGGTAAACTGATGGAGGCTGAACAAGCTCATTTAGATCTCAAGTACTTTTAGAAACCATATAAACGTCACATATTTATCTCTCAGCAGTTAGTAAACATACAAAACCTAATGTATGATAAATAGAGCTCTGAACGAGATAACTTACTTCAAGTCATTAACTTAACACTCGGAGCCAAACTCGGATCAACACATGAACGCAGCTTACACGTTACGAGCAGAACCGGAAGTACTAGATCTCCCCCTAGCGGAGCAGTGCAGCACATAAAACTGATTCCTATGTCACTTCCTGTGATAGCAACTAAACAATGTTACAGAATAAAAAGAGAAATAACAGAAAATGTCTGAGCCTTTTATACAATGCTCATTAAAGTCTCCACACCAAATCACTTTACCCTCTAAATACTTCCCAAGTTCCTCTATTAAATCTAATGAAAGTCTTTTACAAAAATATAAAAGTTTATTCTTTTAAATTGTCCACTTATTGTCCAAATCTCAATAATATATTCCAACTCTTCCTTTAGCTAAAAGTCTAAAATAAATCCCCTTTTTTATGAATGTTATACACCCTCCTCCAGATCCTCTCTCTCTGTCTCTTCTAATGCTTTCATATCCTTTGATAACAATATGAAGACTTGGTTTAAGCCAAGTTTCCTGAATGTATATAATATCTGGATCTTCTTTGAATTCTTTAAGTCCTTTAAACTCCTGTCCATTTGCKATTTAGTCTAGTAGGAAGGAGGGGGTCCCATGCACCCGAAAGATATATATTTTTAACCTAACTTTTTGTGATCCTTAAGGTGTCTAGTAAATGGATAGTGATGGCCCCAGAGCAAATTGTTGTCCCATATATGTTTTTATTGACCACCTTCAATGGCCAACCTTTATTTTCCATTGTGAATAATGAAAACTTTAAATCAACATGGCTCCTAAACTACACTTCAGACAGACACCATTCACCCCATTTTATTTTTGTCTTTTCATGGGTAATTTGTTGAAAAAAAGATTCCTATGATTAGATCATGTTTGATGTATAATAGCTGGAGTAAACACAAAAAATTCTAAAATTCGCCTAAACTGAATCGCAGGAACTGCTCCCCTGTACACCCTATTGATATTTTTTTCAAAGCTTTGTATATTTATAATCTTCAACATGCATAGTAAAAACAAGTTGATAATATCCACTTGAAATTTCGTCACATGTATGTTTATTGTGCCATTTTGTTCCCATCCTGGATTTCCACAAATGCGAAAAAGAGAATGTTAACTCAACATATTGACTTAACTAGACATTGTGCAGAGGCAAATGAGCCCAGTTTTGGTTACGTTTTGGCATGAGAAATTAATGGAGATGGTTAGTGACATGACTGGAGGATTTATGAAGCATTGTCACCCAAATAAATAGAAAAATTTTGTAAAATCAATAGTCGTGCATTTGCAATGGCATTTCCATGGCAATCTCAGCTTATCTCGATGATGTGTCAAGTTGGCCCGCTTCATGCATGGCAATTGTTATAATTTCTAACTAAAAATGGTTTATAGGCTACACCTATTTTTTAATTAAAACAATTTGCCTAGATTTAATTTTGTCTGCCATCTTGAATGTCAACACACATTTGCAAATTTACAAGCTAGCATTAGCACTGGTTCTAAGCTGACAATTGGCAATTTGTTGTAGGCGTTGGCATGAGGGTTTAGACAGTTATTTAATTTTCATCAGTTTGAAATGTTGAAAAATAATTTATGTTAAAAGTTTCTATAAACATAGGCTGATTGTTGCTAATAATGCCAAAGAAACACAAGAAAGAAAATAATGGTGAGTATAATCAGTTTGATCCAGCAAAAAAGAAATCCAGGAGAGATTAGATTTTCTATCCTCTCAGTCCACAAATTATTACTGGTGAGGGCAACGATGTGTTTCATCTTGAGTGGGACAATCTGAACAAAATTATTGCAAATATCCATGGCTCCAATGTGGGTAACT